GGGGGGGGACCAGTATGAGCAAAGTGATGTTCAGACAGGGCTCTCATTTTCCTGGCGGGTTAAGATATACATACGCCGCAGTAGGGCTCCAGCCTGCCTCCACAAGCACTGTTTTACATTCTAATTATTAGAGCTGACAGGCTATATGGCTGGGGCTCAATACTGAGGCCTTTTTCTTGGCACATCTCGCATTTGATGTCAGAGCAAGTTTAATGAGATAAGAAAGTTTGAGTCCTGTAGTTTACAGTTCTCTTTCCTTTGAGCAAATCACGTTCTGTTGCTCTCAGCTACTGTAGCACGCTTACTGTACGTCTCAGCTGCGCTAACACGTAGGCGAAGGAGGAAGAATTGCTGTGTTTCCGTTTGATTTGTCTTAATTGACTTGATTTAAGCGAGAGACATCAGCAGAAGAAAGGTGTGCCACGATGACTGCGATTAAAAATAAACAGTGGTTTTGGAGCTGTTCATTCATTCTTTAATATGTAAAAAGCCAATCTCAGACACAAACAACAGAGACTTTTTTAAAGATTTAATTAAGCTACAGGGAATTCAGTGCATATTGTAGGTAAACACTTAGGACCATGGGAATACCATTTAAATTAAAAGAACTGGTGTTGTTTTTCTCATTACCAGATGAATGAAACATTTATCGCTGCCTTTCATTTCTCTCAGAAGCTGACATTTACAGGTCACCTTTTGATAGCGCCAACTTTGTATTGTCTCCAAGTGCCTTAGCAATATGAGAAAGTATGATTTATTTTGTCTTCCGTGTTCACCTCTTGACTGAGCCTCCGCATTTGTCATTTCATCATCCACAGCTATTGAAGTGAACCTGCAGAAAGCTCTCGCCGAGGCCTCAGAGACCTGTACCCAGGAATGTCTGATCCTGGGTCATTCTGACAGCTGCTGGATGCCGCCAGCGCTGACCCAATTCCAGACGTCCGGCGCAGCCACTCTGCCCTCCTTTGGTTTTCAACAAAGCTGGGCGCGGGGGAACAAGCCAGATGGGCGTCACACCCTTGGCAGGTCAGTGCCCAAAGATGATCTGGACAAAGGGAGCAACCGGCCCCAATTCTACAACACACTTGAGAGACACTGCAGCAAGAAAGAGGATCCCATCAAGGTCATCCCTCTAGCCAGCTTTTCCGCCACGTCCAGCCCCCAGACGTCTGCGGGCGGAGGCTCTTCCGCCTTCCTGCACGAGCATCAGCTGTAGAAGCGAGGGTAGGCCTCAGAGCACAGCATAATGAGAGTGATTGAAATGGAAAAGCTGACTGGTTCTGATCGTTATTAGCATGTGTCAACCCTTTCACGGCACGGCGGAAGGGGAAGTTAAAGCAAAGGACACTAGCTTTCGATATCCTCTGTGAAACTGAAACGTACAGTAGACAAATGGTAGATATAGACCAAAGTAGCTCCTCAAGTGAAAAAAACATAACAAAAAAAAAAAAAGCGGTGTGAAATGTATCTTAGTAACAGATTAGTGGCAAATGAACTAAGCTTTACTGTTGATCAAAAGGGACAAGATTACAACAAATTACTTTTAAGTCTGTGTTGCTGGAAGAAATCATTGCATACGTTTACATGCTCGCTGATAAAAAAAAAACACGCCATGTTCTTGTTATTCAAAGAAAATGTGTGCATATTCCGCACATTATCTTCTCTAATTTGAAATACATATGAACACGTGTCTGCAGCTAGTGGTCTTGGCGAGTTTAATTGGTGCTCACTAACAGCAAAGCCGGTGGTTATTTCGTTGTGCTTTGCACATGAACGCAGACAAAACAATAAAAATTAGGCTCTGAGTTAAGAGCCGCATTCGGAATATTACAACACATGTAAGCATAGTCAATAAGGTTAAGTGTAATTTGTGAGCGCTGGGTGACTGCAGTATTTCTTTCGGCTTCGGTGAGGTCCGTCGTTTCCAGCTGAATTTCCGCCTGAGTCAGTTTTACTCTGCTAAAGAGACCTAGCTCCATGCCTCTGAATGTGCTGCTTACTCTGTCAAGACTACAGCTAAGCCTCTGCAAAAATTAGTCTTAACACGTAGAAACTTTTATATATATTAGGGTGCTTTTTTTCTTCTTAAACTTTGACGTTAGGTCTTTTCTCCCTGGTGAGCTCAGAGCCTTCCTCTGATGTTCAGCATGTTGGTAGTTTCCGTGCATCTGACACCCTTTCTCTGCCATTAAAAGAAACCCGCTTATTTTCAACATTATCTCATTAGCGGAGGCACAGACATGGCTAAAAAGGCATCCTTTGTTTTTTCGCACTACTATATCAAGTTTTTCTCTCGATATATACACAATTTATGCACCATAATAAGTGCTGTGGAACCAATTACAAGAATCTCCCAATAGTATAATTACTTTGATCAGTAATCACCGTAACCACTATAGAAGCAGAACGCTGCTCTATAATAGCATAATTGGCTACCTTTTGTATGTGTGTGTGCGTGTGCTTGTATGATGCGCACTTCTTTTTAAACTTGCGTCAAAATTAAGCGTTTGCGAGATTTATAAATAATGATGTCAAATAAACAGCCTTAAGATGTAAATGTGTATTGTACGGATGTAATGACTGCTAAGTGAAGTATAAGTTACTTACAATTGTGTCATATTTTCGTCCAGTATATTCAAACAGAGACATCAAGTAATCCCACAAAGAGGCTGTGCGGGTTGAGAAATCAGCACAAATTTAATTCGCCAACACTTCTCCTTAGTATATACTGATGACACAGAAATATTTGGGTCAGTGATCCAAAAAATTACTTCACTATAAAATAGTGTACGTGCCAGCGACAAGAAATGTGTCACAGCGAGACGTGTTGGAGTGTGTTGCTCTTTGATGCAAGAGAACTGACAATCACTCCGGCAGCTGTTCCCTCAATAACAGTTTAAGATCTGTCGAACACTCTTGATTAAGAGGAATAATTGCGGTGTGGGACGGAAGCAGTGGCTTGGTCTTTCGCTCGAGCTCTTGCACGTCTGCTAGCTGGGACGGTGTGAGAGTATCGAGTGTAAGGTTGCTGACTCAACGCAAAGTCTCCTAATCTATACAATAGATCAGAAACAAGGTCTGAAATACTTATATCAGCCGTAGTGTCTGTATTGCTTAACACTGCTTGAAAATCTCTCCTTCTGTTCATTCATAACACAACAGAAAACACCTAGTTACAAATAATTGAATTGGATGTCTTTTAAATTTCCAATGATTAAAAACAATGGTTTTTGAAGAAGAGGGCTGTAGAGCTTCACAACACATATGAAATATATTTACATATTTATTTCAGAACTGCATGGATTTAGAAGTTTTACATGCTTAGAGTCAACATGAAATCAAACAGACCCCGTTTACTTTCTTAATGCACGTCACTAGGGTTTTTGTGAAAGATTCATCTGTACACATTTTATTTCAAGAAAAAAATGCACATCTACATTTTAATTAAAACTTAAGTTCCTGTGCCTCTCAATCAACTTACTTTAATTTAGCATCACCAGGCAATAATGAAAAAAATAATAAAAATAGCCAAATATTCAGATCTAGCCTTATTCTGGGATGGAAACGACCCCTTTTCATGGTCCAATGCAGGGATGTGCATGGAGTTCTCTGGGCCTCAAATGTAGTAATACTTTGTTTGATTGATTTTAATTTTAAAAAAAGAGCAACACTCACCTGGTCCAATCATATCCTGATTAATAAACAGAAGCCTTTTTTCTCATTCAGAGAAAATGTACACAATTACAGAAGTTAAATGCGTTGCAAATGCTATTTCATGTTGACTTTAAAAATGTATGAACTTAAAAGTAAACATTTGCTGAAATCTGAAACAGCCATTTTTGAGTAGTGGAGCAATTCTATTAGTGCCAAAGGCATATCAAGTAAAAAAGACAAACATTGTGTGAGTATGAATGAAAATAAGAACATTTGTGATAAATAAATGCATAAAAGGTCTCAGTATGCATGGTTATTCTCCCCTCTAGCACTTTTGTACTTTTCTAAAAAGTTTGTTCCCTGATGTATCATGGTAAGCAACCTTGCTAATGAGGTGTTTCTTTTCTCTGATAGATACTTTTTTTTTCTTTTTACATTTTTTGAGCGTTTTTTCAGGAACATATTATGGCAGATCGTCTCTGTAGTCAGACATTTGCATGTGGTTCCAGTTGACCTCCGCTGGCTGATTGTGTTCTGTAGCACTAAACCCTTGTTCTGACACTAATCAGTAGCTTGTGCTGTCATACGGTCATCTCCTCGGGTTGTGTTATAGTTAGTATGAAGGATTAGAATGGCAACACACTTTGAGTGCCCAACACATCGTAACACAAATCAAATAAATTCCCATCATTACCGTACAGAAAAAAGAAAAAGAAAAAAAGAGCAAAGTGTACATAGATATACTTAGCAGTAACCCTGGGAAACAAATTTTAACATACTGTATGTGTAAACAAAAGGAAAAGTGGTTTATGCTTACTGAAAATAGTTGATAAAAGACAAAAATCATGAAAAATGAGGACAATCTCTGTTGTAATGTATTCAAAACATATGCATACTGTATAGTATTATATGTGTGCGCGTGCGTTTGTGTGTGTGCATGTATGTATACTGGCACAAAGTGGCCGGATTATGTATGTACACACTGTGTATCTTGTATAGAATCTGAAAAGAATATAAAACTGCTGATATATTAAATCTGCTTGTAATTTAAACATCATTTGCTGTATTTCACAACTATTTCTTTCTCTAGAGGTGAGCTTTCATATGTGCCAGCAGTCAAGCAATGAACACTGTTGAACAATTGAAGTATATCTTGATATCATACCCCTGTAAAATACTAAAAGAAACGAAAAGAAAAAGAAAAAAGAACATGCTCATTTACATTTGGTGTGATGTTTTTTCTTGTCTTGGATTTTTTCTTGAACCATTAAATATTGTGTATCTTTAGACGCTCTGTTGTGTGTCCTATCATTTCCAAACACTTTAATCCTATTTTTCTCTTATAGACTGCAAAGCCTTGACGTAGAAAGCAGGTGGTGGAGGAGAATACTAACAAACAAGAAGAAAGAAACGTGGTTCGGACCAGCTTCCATTAGGGAAAGCGAGCAATATGCATACGAAACGCTGTCTATTTGTGGAAAAGCAAGGCGGAGGGAACTCTTGATTAAGTCTGTCTGCACAGACAATAGCAGTTATACAGCTGTTAGAGGCATTGATTCAGTAGGAGGTGAGCTTCGGAAACACACCTGAGAGATTTTAATCAGAAAGAGAAGAGGCCACCTAGATGGACTCAAGAATAATTGGCGAGTCTGGGCATATAACCACCATTATGTGCTCTGCAAATGTGCCAGGACTGCAGCTTTGGACCGGGCCCAAGACGGAGTTGGGAGCAAGAAAGGAGCCTTAAAAAGCAAATGAATAAAGATTATCCAATCAAAAGGGTCTACCTACAGCACTGTAAGTTCCTGAACATTTTGCTGAACTGTCTAGTTACACCCTTTTTCTGCTGGCTTTACATTTTTGATGCTTGACTAGCACGTATGTGTATACGAGTGTGAGCTTTCATATAGGGGTGAGCTCAATTATCCCTCCTTTCCCTCATTAGTCTAAAGAAATACTGGGCATCCAGACTGCAATGCAGATAAAGTAGCAGGCAAACAAATTATAATTTAACAGCATGCAAATGTTACAATTTAAAGCGACAGTTCACTCCAAAATGAACATGGTCATAATTTACACACACTCATGTCTTTCTTTTGCAGAACACAGAATAAGATATTATTCTTATCTATATTAATATCACTATATTAAGATATATTGTTATTTTTAATTATATTTCTGTTTTAATAATTTTAAACAAACGTATTTCAGTTCATTGCCAAAGCATTTTTTCGTTTTAATTTAACATGTTTTATTTTATTTAATCATTATATCAATTACCAAAATTTGTTTTGAATAGTTTTAGTGAAATTAATCCAAACACCTCTACTGATATATTCTAAAGGCCTGTTTACACAAAGAGCGATAACTATAATGATAGCAATAAAAATGTTATAAATTTAAAAGAATAGCAGTCCACACCACAACTTTAACGATAAGCGCACAGAGAAACAATATCCTTAGAATCACTTTCAAAAATAGTTTTTTTTCCAGCTGATGAGCGATTAAAACAGCTAACTGACAGCCAATCAGAATTTAAAAGTCAGAGACAATCTGATTTAAAGTGGCAGATGCCAAAACTGTAGCCCGCTTACCGTATAATAAATGGAGTATTTTGACGCTTATATAGTTATCGTTGTAGTTATCTTTATGCTTATCAAACTAAAACATTGATTAACAATATAGAAAAAAGAGAGCAGTTATGGCAACACAAACCTCAAGCACCATGACGTTTGGTCCGATGAACTACGAGAACTAATGAGGGTTTATGTTAGCTGATAATTAAAGTGTATGTAGTTGTTGTAGTTTGTGTATGAATTAATTTCACTCTACCTTTATGTCCTTTCTGGAGCTTGACACTTTTGGGTCCCATTGACTTTCAGAAAACAAAATCAGTTCTTCAAAATATCTTCTATGTCCCAAGGAGGAAAAGGCTATACATGTTTATAATGTTTATTTAGAATTTTTATTTTGGGTTGAACTGTCCCTTTAAGAAACAATTTTAAGCACAGTCAAGTCAGAGCTTTAGTGTAAAATCCAGAAACTATAAAACTAGCATTTTTGGAGTGTGCGACCAGAGAGTGCATGTGGAGACACTAAGTGGCTGTGACAATGGCTTGATATGCATGGGGGAACATGAGAAAAGGTAATGGGCGAAAGGGTACGGATGGGGTCTTGCAGTCACACATGCAGCGAGCCCTTCCGCACTTTCCCAGCATTATTCCCCATGGCCATTTTATTAGATGAATGAGACATGACTGGCTAGCATAGAGCTAATCAACTCAGTTTTGTTGTAGCAGCTCAAACGGGGGACTGCTAGACTTCAACCACTTTCCTCATGGCCGTTTTGTTCTTTACCTGTAGATAGAGACTTCACTACGGCAGCCCACACTGATTGCGCGGCTAAAGCCCACCTGAGTTTCCAGGTAAGTCCCAGTGGACGTGGCGATCTGAGCGCGGAAGCTAAACGAGTTGCTAGATTTGAGGTTACTACACAGTGACACCGTGGCTGGTGAGAGAGGGCTTGAGTGTACAGACAGAGTATCTCATCAAGGACATCTAGATGGGGTCATCACATCACCGCTGAAGATCTCCGGCTCAAAGCTTTTTCCTTTTGCTCAAGTGGGTTGCTGAAGGCAGCGCAGTAGCGTGGCTTATGTCTCACTGCCGTGTTGACCCAGCGTTTAAATCTAGCAATAGTTTTTGAATCAGAAGTGAATACAGGAAGACAGAGCAAGCGAGAGTTTAAACTGGCGCGGTGACAAAGTAATAACAAAGTTACTATTGAATCACAGAGCAAGCCATTTGTAATTTGTCCCTGGCGAAAGCTGCAAATACAATATGCTACGCGACGGACCGCTGTGATGCTGAAAAATGCCTCAATGCGCCGAATGGGAAATTGATTGAAGTGGCCATTTGCAAGCGACTCACACCTTCTTATTGTTGATTCGTATCCGGCTTCAAGAACACTTGTTAACTTTGCAAATATCTTTCTTTAGTGGAGACGCACTTGGTTTTCAAAGCACCATCTGCAGAGGCCGCTGGTTGAACATATAGAGGGTGTCAAACAGCACGCTCATTTTAAATTGTAATTAAACTGGCCATCAGGTACCTTGAGGCTGTTTAGTCTTCAGCAGGATACTAATTACTATAAGATGACCTTTGGAATAATATCTGGTGAATAATTCATAATTGAAGAGATTGCTTCAGAGACATCCGCTCTGAACTTTGTATGCTCACAACTATTTAAATTAATTTTCAAATCGAACCCTCCGATTCGGTCTTCAAGCAGTACAGTATGAGGGAAAGGATTTTTACGCATACGGTGAGGTTCCTTTTAAGCTGGTGATAAAAATGGATGTGTTTTATTGCCTTTAGTCAAGACTGACTCGTGTCAATATTACACTTTCATCCAGCATGAGGCATATAAAAAAGAAGCCATATAGTAATGTATTAATCACAAGACGGTGCTCAATGATATTTTCATTTTCACGATGATACAGGACCTGACTTTCTTGAATGTCAAACGATTACATTCATACAAATGTGATTCTGAAGCCTTTATATAAATGATATCAGAGCAGAGGAGGTTTATATATATATATATATATATATAGCAGTACATCCCGATTGGCCTCATGAGTGAAATATTAGATAGGTGTCAGGTAGTTGAAGACATATGCATTTATCATAATTACCCCATGCATACACATTTTTTAGGAACACTCATTCAAATGAAATCAACCAAAATTAATTTGTGTTTATTGTTGAGTAGTAAGTGACTACATGCACACTGAAATATGTGTTAACAGTAATATTGTGAAATATTACTGCATCAGTTTCAAATAACTTTTCTATTGTAGTATATGTTAAAATGTAATTTATTACTGTGATCAAAGCTGAATTTACTCCAGTCACATGATCCTTCAGAAATCATTCTAATACACTGATTTGCTGCACAACAAACATTTCTTATTTTTATCAATGGTGTGCAATTTCTTTTTTAAAGAAACTTTTATTCAGTAAGGATACATTAATTTGGCAGTAATGGCATTCATAATGTTCTAATTTATGTTTCAAATCAATGCTTTTCTGTTGCACATTTATTAATCAAAGAATCCTTAAAAAGGGTCATCTCCATTTCCAGAAAACTATTAAGAAGCTGTCTTAAGAACTGTTTTCAACATTGATGATGATAATAATAATAATAATACATTTTAACAGAAAACTGATTTTTTTATTGCAATAATATTTCTCAGTATCACTGTTTTTACATGTCTTATCATGTCTTCTAAAAAAATCTTAATCATTCCAAATATTTGTTGTCAGTCATACTAATCTAAAAATGTAATGTTTCAAAAAGTATGTGCCAGTGTTATTTTAACTACCCTTATATAGTGTGCTTGTGTTTAGTGTTTTCTCTTAAAAAATAAATGGCTTGTCATGTTTGCAGCGCTAGGTTTAATGTTATGACATTTTTTTTTATACCAGTGGGACCAATTTACATGATGATATGAGCTGGCCATGTAAATTCACTACATAAGTTACTGTTTATTTCATTTGTGATAATACCAGTTGTTTCTACAAGTAAATTCAATTCACTCATTCTCTCTCAAATGTTTTATTGATGTTGCTTCATTGTAGCATTAACCCTTAGATGGTAAACACAGTGTACCTGGACCTGTCCAACCAGATTTCTTCTGTATTTCCTGGAGAGAAAAAAAATCTGGTCAAACTGATTCAATCATTAGGCTCAATGCACATTGGCTCTTGCCCTGATACTGTAATACTATTATGTTGTCCAGTCTCTCGTGCTTTCACAAACGGGATTCAATCAATTCAGTCTTGCCATAGGCCAATTCATTTCTCCATAAGAAATAAAAGAGCACACTGTGACCAAAAAGCAGCATGAGCTCATCATGTTCACAGTGATTTCGAAGTACATGCAACTTCAGATGAGAAGATTTTCTTAAATGATAGGTACAGTATTACTATTATACAGTACCAAAGGCAATTCTAGGGACCGAACCCCCAATGATGAGTAAAAGTGGGGATATGTGTGCAAACTCTCAAAAAAGGTACAAAAGCTATTCAGAACATATAGATACTAATATGTACCTTTAAGCTACCGATATGTACCTTTTGAAAAGGTACTGCCCAGTGACAGCTTTTGTACCTTTTTTCGAAGAGTGTACAATATAGATCTGGGACGGAACCAGCAACTATACATGGCTATATTTGATGTTAATCATATTTTGAAGCCTTTCTAAATTGGATCTATAATCATCCATGTACTGTATTAGTTTTGTAAATTGCAAATTTTATGTTTCTTGCTATTTTGTCAGTCATTATAGATTAGGCTTTGTAACAGCGGCAGCAGAAAAAGAGAGATTT